ACTGCTGCCGCAAACAACCACTTCAGAGATCCCAGTCCCACACCAGACCCTTGGCCTAGGGTTCCAGTGCCAGGAAGAGAAATCCCCATAACTTTGGGCTATAAAAATCAGCAGGAATAGTGTCTGAATGACACAGAGGCTGCTGGAGACCCAGGTGTTTTTCTTGAAGGGCCAGCACACAGCCTTACATGGACTTACTCTCTCTGAGCTCCAGCACAGAAACAGCAGTTTGAAAGGATCTCCACCACCACCACAGAGCCAACTGGCAGGTGCCATATCTGAGTTTCCATCAATCTGCCTCACATTTTTCATCTGCCCCTGTAATTTCCTGAGACCCCACCCTCACTCAATTGGCAGCCCCACTCAAGCTGTTTGCAATGATCTTTTCATGGCTCAGGCTTCAGAATTTTCTAAAATCTCTCAAACAAGAAGCAGTTGACCTCAATGTGCCCCATACATTTAAGAGGCCCCAGGCACAGCACTAGCAGCAGCCTGCTTTGGTTCACAGCTTGACCTCTCCTGGGCACCTCCAAGCCCAAAACAAGCAGCAGCCATCTGCAGATCACTCTTTAGTTCGTGCAGGGTGGCTCCAGGAAGGTCACAAGCAGTAGCTGACTTTGTACCTCCCTGGAGGCCTTAGAGCCAGTGCACCCAGTGGTCAGCTTCAAAATACGCCAGATTATAACTCTACCACACACATGAGCAACACACTCAAGGGGCAGAGTTGGAGAGCACCAAAGCCCCAATGAAGCAAGCCCTGCTCCATAAGGGCATCTCCTGCACAGCAGCTCTTCCACTATAGTTGTAGCTAGTCTACACAGCCAATTGGCCAGGGGTAAATCCCTCCCAGTGATGCCAACCACGAGCAAGGCTCAGCTACATCAGGACAGCGCACACAGCCCACACAGGAGTGCACCTAGAGTGCCCAGCTCAGGTGACTGGGCCCTACAGGACACCTACAATATAAGGCCAATATACCAATTCCAGGAGACATAGCAGCTCTACCTAATACATTGAAACAAACACAGGGAAGAAGCCAAAATGCAGAGACAAAGAAACATGTCACAAAAGAAAGAACAGTAGAAATCTCCAGGAAAAATAACTAAATGAAATGGTGCTTTAGGTGATTTCCCTGAAGGTCTCACACGTCTTTTGTTAGATTTATTCCTAGATACTTTAGCTTTTATAATGTTTGTTCTAAATGGTTTTGTATTATAATTCCTGACTGGTTATCATTGATACTTAGGAACTTATCTTTATACATTAGTTTTATATCCAACAAACTGCTAGGAAGAGCTTTCTAGTTCTCATGGTTATGAAGGTCCTTTGGATTTCTATGGAAGACACACGCCATGTCATCTGCTGCTAAGGAAAAGTTTGTATCTTCCTCTCCTAATTCAAATTCTTGTTATTTCATTTTTGGGGGAAAAAAATTTACTGTTGGGAGTATTACAGATGTTCCTCCTTTTATCCCCCATTGCCCCCTGCTCCCAGATCCTGCTTCACCCCAGGCCTTTACCACTCTATTATCTGTGTACATGCATTATGCATGCATGAATATGTATAACATGCCTCCTCAATTCTGGGGCATCCCAGTTCTCATTCTTGATGACTGCTCTCAGGGGAATAAGCCTTCTGAGACCTAAAAGGCATCAGCAGGGGAGTCAGACTCTCCTGGTCCTGGGTGGCCTTCCTCCCAGCCCTTCCTGGTTTCCTTGCATCTGCTGGCTCTGTGGTGTCTGATCTTTACAAATATGCAAGATCTACCTGACCATTTTCCTCCCACGGTTAGACTTTTCTAAAAGAACGTTGCTAGATGACTAGGAGAAACAATAATGAAAATAAAATATAAAAGGATAAAACAAATTTTCAGGGCACAAAGTCCAAGAACCTAATAAAACTTAAAGACTATGGACTCTCCGGCAGAACCCATCAGACAGCACTTAGGGTGGTCCCTTCCTGCCACCCTCTCCAGGGAGGGTCTCTGGTCTCCAGCTCTTCTCTGTCTTAGGTCCTCACCCACCTTGTCAGATCGCGTGCCCTTCATGAAGCACCCACCACACATTGGCCACCTTTACACACACCAAGGGCAATGAGTCGGTTCTGTATCCCCTTCATCTCTTGTGCTGCATTGTCCATGACATCTGTCTCTAAACTCTGTTCTTAGCACTGTGGCCCTCACCCAGAAGAGGAGGTGCTACCCTGTAGACCCGCTTCCCAGCTGCTTCTAACCCCAGGTCTCCAGCTTCCAGCTGGACACTTTCACTCAAATCTCCCACCACTGCTTTTAATCCACACAGTCACCAAACCAAAGTTCTCATCTCCCCTTCCAACCTCAGTTAGCACTCCTCCCCATTGTCCTTCTCTTTGAATCCCCCCATAACTTTCCCGCTCACCAGGCTCAGGCATGTAAGACTTGTCTTTCACTCATACCTCTCTCATCTCTGGCTCTGCTCAGAAACTACATGATGCTTTCTTTTTGTCTTTAGAAAGTATCTCTTCTCTGTCCTTCCTCTTTTCCATTCTCCCCTCCTGTCATCCAGCCTGGCCTTCAACGCTCACTCCAAGGTCACCACACCTTTCCTGAGTCCCAGCGGGCTGTAGATGGCACCTTCTTTCTTGAACAACACTTCAGCATCTCTCTCCCCTCTCTAAGTGGCTTAATGGCTCTCTAGTCCTTCGGTTCATGTGCACCACCAGTGCTTACTGAATGCCTACTGTGTGCAAACATGGCCCCAGCCTAGCTCCATGTGCACAAGCAGCCATTAAATTCACTGCTTTCTAATCCAACGCCCTGTGTCAGTCACGTGATCACACCTATTCCCACCACACAGGAACCTCGCTCTGTCCTTAAAAGGTACTCCCTTCACTCTCCCTTCTATCCAAAGCCACGTCTCCTAAGCCCAGTTCCAATTCCACTCCTCCCCAGCTATACCTTTTAATATTAGTACACTTCTTCTCTGAAATCCCTCTGCCCTTATAGAGCTCCCTATTCTCCTGAATTTTCCCAGCTCCACAAATAGATCTCAAGATAGAGACCGTGTTTAAGTTGAAGACACAGCATGTGCTAATGCATAAAGGTCGTGTTTCAGGGCCCACAGGGAGTTTGGTGCCCAGAGTCAGCGCTGGACCAGGTCCTCCTGGGGGGTGCACACTGGCCATGGCTCTTGTCCTGTGTCCCAGAGGCAGATGTCCAACAGGGTGGAGGGAGGGGCTAGGGCCAAAGGCAGAGTTAGGGGTCTTGTGACAGTCTGGGGCTGATGGCATCCCTCCAAGCTCAGCGGGATGGCTTGGGGTCTGTGTAGGAGTCAGAATTGATAGCTTGGAGGAGAAGCAGGCTGTCACCTAGAATAATTCCCTGACATCTGACATCCCTCATTAGAGAGTGGGTTGTTTCATGTTCAATAATTAAGTTTCTCAATGAAAACTCGTTAATGTCTAAAAACATGCGGAGTAGAGCAGATGGCAGTTATAATATGGGGCAAGGAGGCTGGTAGGATACGTGAAGATTAAGATTTCTCTATGGAGCTCAAATGACCAAAACAAAGCGTTGGAAGTTTACTCAAAAAGAGGATTAACATCTGCCTATCTTTTTTAGATCACAGGGAGTAAAGTTTTGTTTGTTTATTTGCCTTTAAACCAATTCCTAAAAATTAGTATTGTTAAGCATTTTAAGATTCGACATGATAGAGTTTTCTTTATTCTTGTATGTATACTCACGGCCTAGCCCACGTTCCTTACTGCACAGACTGGCCGTGAGAACAGCGGTGCTGTCTTTGGTTCCAGTTTGGAGCATCTGACCTGTTTGAGCAGAGGCCACATGGAGGACACCTTGTAGGCTTGGTCCCCTGCGTCCGAGGAGCACTGTCACCTTCACAAAGTGGGCCCAGGGGTCTTCCCTCTGCCTGAGAGGCAGTTCACTGCATATGACCATGGACCCCACCTTACAGTTAGAGACACAGGCTCCTGCCCAAGGACGCACAGAGAGTGAACCATCTATGTAACATTTGCAAAGAGAAAGATTCAAAAGGAAAGTAAAAAGTGGAGGAGGTAACAGATTAATACGGCAGAAGTTATGAAGGTGGAATGAGCACGGCACAATCAGGGAGAACATTGCTCTAACCTCACGTGAGCAGGACAGGTGAGATGAGGAACTGGACGGCTGCACAGGAAGCCCCAGAGACAGAGCCCGGAAGAGGCCAGGCTGGAGTTAGGAGGCTGGGAGAGGTCCGTGTCCCTTAGGAAAGTCATTTGTCTTTCTTGGTCTTACTTCCTTATCTCTGAAGTGAGTTAAGTAACCTGTGTTTCTCTCATTTAATCCATGCTTGAATAGGGTAAGTACAGAACTATATCAGTGCTGTAGACTGTGTGGCACGTTGGTGAGCAATATGTACAGATATATAGAGATAGGTATACACTCCACACACGTATATATGCACAGACACATGCATGTACATAAGTGTGTGCACACACTGGTACATGCACACATATACATGAAAATGTACACACAGAGACATGTGCACACAGATTACAATGTGCACATGAACACACATATATGAAAGCATTGTGCATGCATGTTCACACAAACTTTTCACACATGCAACACACATGCACTATAAAATGTATACAGGTGCAGTACCTGCACTCACACAGAGGCAGGTATGCACACACATGTACATGTAACCACTCACATTATGCACACATGTTTTCACTGACATGTATATGCATGCAGAGGTGTGAACACATGTATAGGTGTGCACATGCGTGTATACGGCTGAACATAGGTGCATGTGCATGTACATGTGCACACAAACTTATTCACACACATCTACATACAGGGCTGGGGAGAGCTCTGCAGCACATCCCACATTGGGAAGTGTTAGGACAGCCATCCAATGACAGATATTCCATCCCTCAGGGACAATGACACCTGCCCCTTTGGCAGTTGGACTACAGCTCACCTGTCCTACCCAATTATTAACAAGCATGTCCCCTTACAGGCTGGCAGTCTGAAGAAATGGGAGACTGGAGCTTCCTGGGGAGACTGTTGGAGAATGCACAGGAGCACTCCACGGTCATTGGCAAGGTCTGGCTGACAGTCCTGTTCATCTTCCGAATCCTGGTGCTAGGAGCTGGGGTGGAGTCGGTGTGGGGAGATGAGCAGTCAGGCTTCACCTGCAACACCCAGCAGCCAGGCTGCATGAACGTGTGCTACGACAAAGCCTTCCCCATCTCCCACACCCGCTTCTGGGTGCTGCAGATCATCTTCGTGTCCACGCCCACCCTCATCTACCTGGGGCATGTGCTGCACATCGTGCGCATGGAAGAGAAGAAGAAAGGGAGGGAGGAAGAGAAGCTGAAGGGAGGCAGCCTACACCTCAGACCCGATGGGCAGTGTGGGCCCAGGAACCACAGCCAGAAGGACAAATTCATTCTGCAGGACAACCGGGGCAAGGTCCGAATTGCTGGGGCCCTGCTCCGGACCTACATATTCAACATCATCTTTAAGACACTGTTTGAAGTGGGCTTTATCGCTGCACAGTACTTTCTGTATGGCTTTGAGCTAAAGCCACTCTACCACTGTGACCGGTGGCCCTGCCCCAACATGGTAGACTGCTTCATCTCCAGGCCCACAGAGAAGACCGTCTTCATCATCTTCATGCTGGTCGTGGCCTGCCTGTCCCTCTTACTCAACGTGCTAGAGATATACCACCTGGGCTGGAAGAAGCTTAAACAGGGCATGACCAACCACTATGGCCCAGACACCATTGAATCCAGGGTGGGGGCAGCAATATCTGGGGATGTGATCCCACTCCCCTCCCACTAGGCCACAGACACTGGTGCTTGGGGTGCCCTTGTACTACACGCTCTCTGTCTCTTCCCTGGGATGGGCAACAATCATCATTATTCCAGGGCCCCTCCACCAGCAACAGACTTCAACATGGCAGCTCTTTCCCAAACACAGGGGAAGGGCCACCCTGACAAATTCTACAATAGTAACCACCACCTGATAATGACAGAGCAGAATTGGGCCAACCAGGAGCCTGAGCAGCAGATTCTGTGAGGAAGTTCTCCCCACCTGTGTCCACATCTTCCTCCTTTACCCCTCCAGGCAGCCCCCTGCAAGCCCCTCAGGAGGGCAGAGGAGGCAGCAAAGAATCTGTCGTGTTGGAGAATGGGGTCAGCAGCCTCCTGGGAGAGAGCAGACTGGAAGTGACTCCTGATGAGCAGCAGCAGGCAGTGACCCGGCTGTGGAGATGCACATGCCCCCTTTGCTGCCCACAGACCCCAGACGGTCAAGCAAGGCCAGTAAGGCCAGCAACAGTCAGGCCAGACCCAATGACTTGGCCATCTAGTGGTGGTCTCCCCAGAGAGCTTTATAATGACCACTTTTCTAGCATCAAAACCAAAGTGCACTTCAATTGAGCAGCTAGAGAGCCTAGCGTGACAGAGAGCACTGGAGTGGGGGGAGAAGACCACCCGAGAGGTCAGGTTTCTGTGTCCGTGCTTGCTGTCCTTAACGCTGGAGGTGGAGTGGGGAGGATGACAATGCTTTCTATGGGGGATGGGGGCAAAGTGGTGTGCAGGGTCTGATGCCCTTTAAAGATATTCATGGTACCCAAGAGCCCTGAGCCAGGAGACCTTCTCAGGTGTTTCTGTCTCTGTGGCGAACTGTTCTTCGATGATAAAGAGGCAGGTGTCCGCAGTCACTTCAGTTTGGGGCCATTGGGTTTTCTGTCCTGAGCTCTCCGGAGCCTCTGGGCAGCCCAGAAGCTCATAGCTGCACTTCGCCCTATCTCTGTTTGATACTTTCAACTCAGAGTTGAAGTTCATTTGGGATATTTGCCAAACTGCACTAAAAGGAGACTTAGAGCAAGCCTATGTAGTGTCATTTGAGATTCTGAAATTCCATGTGAAGCCCAGGATATCCAAGTGCAGGTTTCATGACAAATAACAATGAACAGCTCCCCCAGAGGCAGAGATTTGTGGGTGGTGGCACAGAGGGGGCTGGGAAGAAAGCAGGTGGAAATGTAGCCACACTTGAGATCACTTTTAACAAAGAAACAGAAGCAGTAATGTGGCAGGCACGCCTTTGTGTGGTTGTTTTTTTTGTTTTGTTTTTTGTTGTTGTTGTTGTTATTTTCTGCTTTGAATTGTACGTATAGGTCTATATTTCCCACTTTCTCTCTTTCTAAAAAAATATAAGAAATGTATTACTATTACATGGATATTGACCAAAATAGTGATTATTTGTCCCTTTTCCCACCAGTAAAGATTTGAAATTTCTTTTAAAATAAATGCTTTGACTTCATGAGTCGGTTCATTACTATGAGAAGGTAAAAAATGAAATAAAATCAGGGGAAAACTTAAGTGCCTTTGAAATACTTGAGGTTCTAAAATGGCAGGTTAAAAGTTAACTGCTGCTGCCAGGAAAATTATTTTTACAGGTGAATGAATAAACTACACCTTTTTAACAGTGAAAATGAACTTTATGTTTCCTAGCCATTCTTTGTGGACAGCCCAGTAACTTTCTAAAGTGTAAATAAAAGTGTGTGGGTTCACTCCCTGTGTAAGTGCATGTGTCATTTTGTGCGTGTGCCTGATTTGTCATCCACACGGACGCTGCTGTGACAGGGAAGGCTATTTGTGTGGTGAGTGTGGCTAAAACATGACAGAATTTCCTGTCCTGCACACACGCTGTTCTGTCTCAGCCAGTGTCTGAGCCGATGAGCAGTGGTGGTGCTGAGTGTGGTCCTCATCACACTTTTCACCTCCAACAGCCACCAATTGTAGTTCTTATTCAGCAGAACACCGTCCACTGTCAATTTGATCTGTTTCTTTTTATGAATCCCTTTGCTTTTCTGATGATTCTTTTTGACCCTCTAAAAGTCTGTTTGAAGAGACTGTGATTCCTGTCTTCAGATTAACTCAAGCAGCTAGTTCATTAGTGCATTCAGCTGGCTGTGGTACGGGCTGGACCACCTCTCCAGCTTGAACAATGCTCACCTCCCATATATGGCCTGTAGCCTTTCTCAAATGGTGCGTCTCAGTACTCTTGAGGAAAGTGTGCCATTTTTGTGGTATGAGTTATGTCCTTAAACAGGGTATCACCTCTTTCATATCAAAAGGGTACACCATAATATCCTCAGCAATAATATACATTTCCATCATAATGAATTCTAAATACAGTAGATTTGACAAAATTGATTTATGATCAAGCATTTCTCTTTTCATGAATTCTGGAGTCTGAGAAGCAATTTTAACATTACAGAAAGCATTAATAAATGAATTCTTTAACTACAAAAGCAAGATCACTATATTGTTGGCTGCAAGACTATTTTCTTATTACTGCCTTTATTAGACAGAGACGTGGCTAGCTGGGATAAGACCCCAAACAGCTGACAAGAATACTAACAATTTGAAACTTATCCATTTGCCAAATCCATCTAAAGCTGATAAGAATTCTGTCCTATTCATTTGCATTGAAGACCTCACACAATTTAAGTCTATTTTTAAATGCCCTTTCAAAATTGTCTTGGGAAGCATTCCCTAATGAAAAACTACTTGGAGATTAAACTGCTTTTCACTTGTGCAAGCAGAAACAGTGGCTCCAGAGTTTTTATGTTAAATATGGAAACCAAGCTCCACTCAGACATCCAGTCAGTTGTATTTGAGAAAATATGAGGTTGACTGGTATAAGACCAAAAGCCAAGAATATGCCAAGTTCTGATACCAGCCCAGCCTCTAACTTGCCATGTCAGCTCTAGAATGAGTCACTTATGGAGAGAAGGAGAGGAAGGGTGAGAAGAGTTGGTGTTACTGCCTAGAAGTAAGATAGAAGACTGCTCCTCATCTCCCCTCTGTGCCTCAAATAGACTGGGACCAAATCTACCTGGATCATGGTTTGGCACATAGTAAGCACCTCATAGTGAACCAATGTCTGAGTGAATGAATGAATGAACGAATGAAGCTTGGATTCTGCTTGGCCATCTAAACTTCATTTGACATAGATTGAAGCATCAATGAATATGATATCAGAGAAGGGTGTCCCCTTGCCAGACTGACTAATTCTGTCTGTAAAATCAACTTTACTGATATGTAATTTGTGTTTGCCACATGGATATGCCAAAAGTGTATCACCACAGTCAAGAACATTTCTATCACCCCAAAGGCCCCTTGTGCTTCTTCTAGTCAATTCTCCTTCACCACCAACTTCATGCAATCACTAATCTGCTATCTGACATTATTGATTAGTCTTTTCTAGAATTTCATGTAAATGGAAGCATACAATATGAGCTCTTCTCTATTTGTTTTTTTCACTTAACATAATGTTTTCAATGTTCTTATTCATGGTTGTGGGTTTTGGTAGTGTTTCTTTTATTGCTGAGAATACCATTATTTGTCCCTTCACCTGTTGATGAACTTTTGGGTGGTGTATTAGGGTTCTCCAAAGGAAACGGAAATATATATACATACAGTTGGTCCATGAACAACACAAGTTTGAACAGTGCAGGTCCACTTATATGTGGATTTTTTGCAATAAATACTGAAAATGTATTTTCTCTTCCTTATGATTTTTTAATAACTTTTTCTCTTGCTGACTTTATTGTAAGAATACAATATATAATACATATAACTTACAAGATATGTGTGAATTGACTTTATATTATCAGTAAGGCTTCTGGTCAACAGTTAAATTTGGGGAGAGTCAAGTTATACATGGATTTTCAACTGCACGGGGGATAGATACCACTATCTCCCATGTTGTTCAAGAGTGAGCCAGTGGTGTAAGTTCCAATTCAAAGGCCAGTAGGTTTGAAACCTAGGTAGACCAGTTGTATTAGTTTGAGCTGAAGGCAAGGGAAAAGGCCATTAGGCAGGAGAATTTTCTCTTACAGGAGAGTCAGCTATTTTGTTCTTTTCAGGCCTTCAGCTGATTGGGGCCCACCCACATTAGGGAGGACAATCTGTTTGACTCAGTCTACCAATTCAAATGTTAATCTCATTCAAACATACCCAGAAACATGTAAGATCAGATATCTGGGCACCCCATGGCCCAGTCAATGTAACACATGAAATTAACCAACCCAAATGGTGTCCAGGTTATGGACATTTGTGTACAAGTTTTTATGGAGACATATTTCCAGTTCTAAGAATGCAATGGCTGAGCTTTACAGTGGTGCCTATTTAACTTTCTAAAGGAGTTGTAAAGTGTTTGCCAAAGTGGTAAATAATAGATTGGGAAACACCACTAATAGAGTAAAAGAGTTTAGGTAGAGCTGCCTAATTCTTTTCAGATAAAGGAACATAGAAGAGAAATATTTTTTAATATACTTTTTTAAAATTGATTTCAGAGAGGAAAGGAGAGGGAGAGAGAGAGATGGAAACATCAATGATGAGAGAGAATCATTGATCGGCTGCCTCCTGCACGCCCCACACTGGGGATCGAGCCCACAACCTGGAAATCAAACCATGACTTCCTGGGTCATAGCTCGACGCTCAATCACTGAGCCATGCCGCTGGGCAGAAGAGAAATATTTATATTGAAAATAGAGGAATCGTGAAATATACACAAAAAGATCTTGAGTTTTTTACATGCTGTTTTTATATTATTAGTTACTTGATTACATATTTGGCCATTAATTCAGTGGAAAAGAAAAGTCTTTCAGGAGCCTGGGTGTGTCAGGTATTTATGCCATAGCAATGCTGCCTAACAAACAGTGGTGTACAACAATAAACATTTGCTTCATTTATAAGACTACAGGGTCCATCTTATCTGGGATGGACTGTTTGTGTCCATAGGGACTGTGGTCACCTGCAGGTTGGCCAGTTGTCCAGGCAGCCTTTTTATTCTTCTTCTTTTTTTTAAATCTTCACCTGGGGATATGTTTTTCATTGATTCTAGAGAGAGAGGAGAGAGAGAAACATCAATGTGAGAGAGAAACATTCATCGGCTTCCTCACGCACACGCCAACTGAGATCAAACGTAGGTCTCCAGTGCAGAGGATGATACTTTAACCACTGAGCACACCAACCAGGGCTCCAGGCAGCCTTTTTATCCTGACCAAGCTCACACAGAAGTTTAACAAGTTGCTGGCTTTTGGTGACATATCACTGGCAGAGACTTGGGCAGCTCTGCTCTATTCCATGTGCCCCATCTCCCAGCAGACTGACCAAGCCAATGCTCTTGAGGCCTTGGGAGGGGAGGAGGAATGGGAGTGGAGACACACCAGCCCTTTTCCAAGCTTCTGCTTGTTTCACATGTGCTAACTTCCCATGGCCAAAGCAAGTCACACACGCCACCAAAATCAGAATTAAAGGGTAGGGAACTAGCATCATTTCTTTTTTCAGTGAGAATTGCAGACTCACATGGTAAACAACACAGCTGCAGGCAGGGCTCATTAATGAAATCAACCTGCCACACTGGGTATAATACATTTACTATAATGATACCAAAACCTCAAAAGTCCTTCAAGAAAACAAAGTCATCAAGAGGCCAATTGCTAGGATACAGAAGGAGGGCCTTCTCCCTCTGTGTCTCTGTCAGTGCAGCTGGTTATCCTAAGAACTAGATCAGCATTTCTAGAAATTTAACCTGCACTAGAGTTGCTGAAGATGCTGCTTCTTTTCTTTAAATCTGTTTTGCCCAATATTTTAAGCACTTGAAAGAGTATATGTAAGATCTGTCTATCCAATATAAAGAATAATAAAAGCTGAAAACTCAAGTATCCCCCATTTGGATTAAAAAATAAATATTACTGTCCTAACCGGTTTGGCTCAGTGGGTAAAGCATCAGCCTGGGGGCTGGGGGGTCCTGGGTTTGATTCCAGTCAAGGGCACATGCCCAGGTTGCGGGCTCTATCCCCAGTAGGGGGCGTGCAGGAGGTAGCCAATCAATGATTCTTTCTCATCATTGATGTTTCTATCTCTCTCCCCCTCCCCCTTCCTCTCTGAAATCAATAAAAATTTATTAAATAAATAAATAAATAAATATTACTAATACCTACAAAGCTCCCATTTGCCTCTTTGTCATCACAGCACACTTCCTCCACATCAGAGGTAACTTCTATCCTAAAATATCATGTTAATAATGTTCTTGATTGTTTTTTTTATGGTTTATATATGCATGTATCCCTAAATAGTAAATATTGTTTAGTTGTGTTTTTTTTTTACAGTTGACCCTTGAGCAACACAGTGGTTGCAACCCCCCATCCTGTACAGTCAAAAATCCACATGTGGAGAACCAAGATGGCGGCGTAGGGAGTGTTGGATTAAAAAATAAATATTACTGTCCTAACCGGTTTGGCTCAGTGGGTAAAGCATCAGCCTGGGGGCTGGGGGGTCCTGGGTTTGATTCCAGTCAAGGGCACATGCCCAGGTTGCGGGCTCTATCCCCAGTAGGGGGCGTGCAGGAGGTAGCCAATCAATGATTCTTTCTCATCATTGATGTTTCTATCTCTCTCCCCCTCCCCCTTCCTCTCTGAAATCAATAAAAATTTATTAAATAAATAAATAAATAAATATTACTAATACCTACAAAGCTCCCATTTGCCTCTTTGTCATCACAGCACACTTCCTCCACATCAGAGGTAACTTCTATCCTAAAATATCATGTTAATAATGTTCTTGATTGTTTTTTTTATGGTTTATATATGCATGTATCCCCAAAAAATAAATATTGTTTAGTTGTGTTTTTTTTTTACAGTTGACCCTTGAGCAACACAGTGGTTGCAACCCCCCATCCTGTACAGTCAAAAATCCACATGTGGAGAACCAAGATGGCGGCGTAGGGAGTGGACCTGTGCGTGCTGCTCTCTCACAGCATCATTGAAACTACCAACTATGAGGCAAACAACCACCACTCAGAACCATGGGGAAGTTGGCCCAGTGGGAGATCTACAACTGGAAGAAAAGAAAGAAGCGCAGTGAGACTGAGTGGGAGCTAC